CAGCCTGACCTCAGCAACTCTTGCCTTTTTCCTTTTATATTTTTACATTTTCACGATGGCAGGCAAAAGCAGAAATGTGATTGTGAAACAGCTGGAAAAGGTATGTGGGTCAGAGGGAGGGGGAGGAATTCAAAATTAATGTAATTTGTAAGTAATTGTATTATTGCAAGTAATTTGTGTGTGTGTCAGTGACGTGCTGTGAAGTTTATGGCTGGTGAGGCAAAAAGAAAGAAAGCATCCCGCCTCTAAAGTTGGACATAGTGCCGGAGCGGCCAAAAGCCTCTTTCTTGACAGTGGCCAAAAGCTTCTTTCTTTCTTTTTTGCCTCACCAGCCATAAACCTCACCGCACGTCACTGATCACAACATAAAAGCAAAATATTTAATAGTAGTAGTAATAGTAATAGTAATAATCATAACAATTTTAAGAAGATACTTGGTTGATGCTGGCAGCAACCCCTATCAACCATCAGCACCAATCCATGATATTTGTGATATGTTTTTAAATGTTCAGTTGACTGAGTTTCATGTTTAATGAATAAAAGAGATAACAACAACAACAGCTCTTGTGAGCAATATATTTATATTGAATTTCATTCCCAATAGCAATAGCACTTAGACTTATATGCCACTTTACAGTGCTTCTACAGCCCTCTCTAAGTGGTTTACAGAGTCAGCATGCATATTGCCCCCAACAATCTGGGTCCTCATTTTACTCACCTTGGAAGGATGGAAGGCTGAGTCAACCTTGAGCCTGGTGGGATTTTAACTGCCAAATTGCAGGCAACCAGCAGTCAGCAGAAGTAGCCTGCAGTACTGCGCTCTAATCACTGCACCACCATGGCTCAATGATCCCAGGGACACCTCCTTGACCTTTTCTTGACAATTATATGGAGAGAGTTTATCAGTAGGACATTCTCAGCTTACAAACATGGGAATCCCATCCAAGTCGTATACAGAATTGGCCTGCTTAGCTTCCCAGCTCAGAGAAGGTCAACTAAGTTCTCCCACCTGATGAGGCATTTAACATCTCCATGTACCGTTAAGCTACTTGTTTCCTATGTATAAATTACCTGGAAATCCCTTTCTGAATGTCAGGTTGTTTACCATAGTCCTGATTGGTGAATTTCTTGCTTTCCTGCTCAGGAAATATAGACAGTAACAGAGGTTACCATTTTTCCTCCCCCGTAAAGGAAAAGTGGCAGAATTCTTTTCAATTTCATCTGAGTCTTTGCCTATTTCATCAGAGAACCTCTTAAAAATATAGTTTTCAGCTGTGCCAGAGCTGTGGATTGCTGATCCCTGTATTAGTGCAACGAGGCTCCTTGGCTGATTTCCCTGGGATGTCATCCTATGGCCTGACTTAAATGGCCAGCAGAATCTGAAAATGGCTACCATCAGGTTACATTTTCATTTGCTTATCCAGGGTTTGAGGTCTGCAAACAGAAAACCACCTACATAGCAATAGAGACCCTTCCTCAAGATAGTTGGGTATTTCCTTTATTTGGACCCACTCAAATTTGTAACAACATTCAGAATGTGTTGCCTACTTTATTGGCAAAGAAAAGGAATCAATTAGCTGCCTACTGTGTCAGATATTCACTCTCCCACTGATACTACATTGAACCAATATAACAAATGCAGCAATTCCTAAATTATGCCCCTGCTCGAAAGAGATTGAAAACAGGATCAAATACTGTAATATAATGTGTGCCTATATTAGATATGCAGTGTGTATTTCAGCTCACTTGCTATTCTTCTGTTAACTCCTTGAAATAATCAGGGGATACGGTCATGGAAATACTAGTTTTATTCATATTTTAACGGGAAATGGAACCATTCTGTGACTGAATCTCACACCCACACCCACCCACACACACACACAAACGGCCATTTCTAATTAAGATGGATTGGAGATAAATTGCAACTAATTTTTAGTCCACTATTGATTAGTGTCTAAAACAATCAATGTTCTGTAATCTTAGAGAGATGGAAGGCTGCTGGTTACAGAATGCTGGTGTCTATAAATTTAAATGTTATGTGTGAGAGGCACTGTGGCTCAATGGCTTAAAAGACACCGAGGAAGGTCTATACTCCGATAGTTTGAATCCTAGCACCGTGTGACAGAGTGAGTACCCGTCACTCGCCCCAACTCCTGCCCACTTAGCAGCTCGAAAACATGTAAATGCAAGTAGATAAAGAATACCACTTTGACAGGGAGATAACAGTGTTCCATGTTTCAGTGTATGTTTTGCACTGCAGCGTGAAGCCATATGACTGTGGAAACATCTTTGGACAGCGCTGGCTCAGTGGCTTAAAGAAACAGAGGAGCACCATCCGCTAATGTTGGCTACAACTAGAAGAGTAAAACCCATAGGGACTCCATTACTTTCACCTTTTTCCATGCTATGTGTAGCCCAGTGACGTGCGGTGAGCTTTATGGCTGGTGAGGCAAGCGGGCAAAAGCCGCCCTATGTCGGACACAGCAGCAGGGCGTTTGGACGCCCCACCGCTGTGTCTGACATAGAGGCATCCTGCATCTATAGCGGACACAGCGCTGGGGCTTTCGGACACCCCGCCGCTGTGTCCGACATAGAGGTGTGCCCTCTACAGGAGGAGGTGAGAGAACCACGTGCCTCATCTACATAAGGAATGTTTTGGCTTTTAACCCTTGCTTAACTCTGCTCAAGTGATCATAAAGATAGACTAAATGAGGCACATTGTTCTCCCGCCTCCTCCTGCAGTTAAGCACTAAGCAGAGTCATCCACTGTGAATCTGGCAGCAACTACCT